CCCTCTGCCATCGGGCCCGGCCTTGCCGTCGGGGGCTGGCGGGACTCCCGGCAGGTGACTGCAGCGGCTCGTCCTCATGGCGGCGGGGCCCCATCTAGGGAGGAAGGAGGACAGGACGGTAGGGCGGGGGTAGGGGCACGGCCCTCCCTGTCTGCAGCTTCGCCGCTCCGATCGATACCCGGCGTGAGAAAACACATCCCCCTCCCCGCCCCAGCCCTCGAAAGGCGCTCGGCAGAGGACGCTGGCAGTCAGCGTCGTGCAGCAGGAACGCAGCCCGCACGCCTCGGACACGGCGAGCCAGTGTCCTCCGCGCTCCTTTCTTTCCTCTGCAGACTCCTGGAGTCACAAGTGATACATGAGAAGAGTGAACATTTTTGTCTCTCCCCCCCGCAACGGAAGACGCAATCTTCACCTTGTGTGCTGTTAAACTTAAGGCTGCCCCTGTCCACCAACTGGGAAAGTTATGTATGGAGGAGAAAGTGGCCGATCAGCTCCAAATCCCCTATGAAAACACTCACTACTGCCAAGTGCCTTCCATCACCAATCCCCCGCAAATAATCCTGTACAGGTCTTTTGTCACACCGACCTGGTTAGTAACAGCCTGCGTGCAGTAATAATTTATGCTACAAGGTGAGGCAGAAATCACAGCTTGCTCGTGTCTTTCTTTGCTTTGCTCTTTCTCCCATCACTTAAGAGTGTATTTTGTGCAATGCTTTCAGCCGTGGTTAGTTGGAAAGCAAGGGTTATGCTAGTAACAGAGACAGGGAACATAAATTGCTGATACCTTTGTGCAATGCTCCTTGCTGGGTGTGCTTGTTGGTGATACCAGGGATTTAATTAATAACCTATAGAGGTTTTTATTAATCTTTAATGAAATAGAAGTTTATTAATTTTTAATCAAATAAAAGGCTCAGTAGATGAAATTTACTAATCTTTAGTTGAGTAATATCTAACTAAACACAAGGAATCCAAGAGATAGGCAGTTATTTTAGCTAAGGAAGCATGTAACTGTTTGTAGCAAAATGAGAGAACTGAGGCCCAGAAAAACAGGAGCTACATTGTTTGCAAGAACTACAGTCGGAGGAAAGACTAGTTCCGACCAGATCTGAAGTTGCTGACTTGTAGCATTTTCGGCCAAAGGTGAAAAAGTCACTCTGATAAAGACCTCAGGCTTTCCTCCTCAAAGACTATCAGAGGACCCCCGAGACCATACTATGCACGTGCAAGTAGGAGGGAACTTATGATGATGAATTCTTGGAACTAATTGTGAATTTATTATCATAAGTTCCCTTCTAATTGTAATAAACCTGCCCAGTTAATACATATGTATGTAAAACCTGGATAAATATCTTATCACTGCCTGTTGAGGTGTGCAAGCTCTGTGAATGATCACCTTGCACCTCGGCACCAAATAAACATATCTGTTTTATAACTCTCAGTGAGTTGTAGAGTTTGTTTCCACACATCATTGGTGAGAAGTGGCTGCAGGGGTCACCGGGATATGTGCCTGCAGGCTTGCTCTTCAGGTCGGTCACCAACAGCACACACATAGGGTGGATTAATCTCCCTGCAAAAAGTGAGAAAGACTTCCTGGCATGCTTTGAGACATTTGGCTACAGACGCATGTAAATTCTATGGGTTGCTACAGTGATAGTCAGGTACACTGCATTTAACCCTCAAAAAAGCATTCTGCACTGGACACCACGGTTGCTTGTATGGTACCAGTACCGCAGCAGGAAATAGCATCTTTAAAAATTAAACATCAATCCTCTCTTTTAAACAGAAGTATTTATCTGGGCTTCAAAAAAAATCTTGTAATTTGATCTTAACGGATTTGAGTAAACGGCAGTGCTAACATTCTGAAGTGTCCTGAATGGATGTCTTTGGCAGTAAGAATCTGTATCATGTGAGGATGTGATGAGGGTGCTGGACCTTGTACTGTGTACACTTGTACCATGCAAGTTTTCACACAGGGACTTACATTCTTCAGACGGCACCTACAACAGGAAAATGTGTGGCTAAGTGTTTGTTTTACAGTACTATTTCAGCTATTTTCAGACCATGTATACCCCAAAGAGCATGCTGGAGGCTGATGAGACAGCTTACAGGGGATACTGTGTTCAAAGAATGGGGAAGGAAATCTGACTCTGGCCCTCATCTACAATGAAAATAAGGCAAATAGCTGATTTCAAAACCATTAACACATAAAAGATGCAGACTTTTTAAGAGAGTAAGAGCCACAGCTTCTCCAAGGAGATGATGGTATCAACAACATTTTAATTTTAATATCCATGCTGAGACTGTTTGACAAGAATATTCAGCAGCTGAGTAGCTGCTTCATTAAACTTAAAAAGCCTAGGCAGTACCATGCTTACAAACCCATGCTACAGGATTATAGATTTTTTTTCTGGCTGCTTCATTGAGCTCATTAAGTGCAACAGTAGGTTTATCGTTGCATATAAACTGACAAGCCAAGCCTTTACAAACACATCCATCAGCCACTTGACGAGTTTAGAGCATTTGCTGACGGATCAGATGCAACTAAATGCAAAGCTTTAAAGCACACCAGAAACAATGCAGCTATATCCTAGTAATGATGTTAATTTGAATTTCTGTGTACAGTACTGCACTGATATCCCACTTTGGCATAGCACATACATGTAGCTCCTTCCTACCTAACGATTTTTTTTAGAGAAAATTGGAAGTGACAGCGTATTTTCCTGATTTTTTTAAGAATAATTTTCACACAAAATCAATGTATGTGCATGAAAGTAATACAATTATAGAATACATACTATGTGCTTTAATACTGAACACTGTGGTAAATAATGAAGATTGTCGTGAGAAGCACAGAGATCCTAAGCAAATCTGAAGTCAAAACCGACATTAAGGAATTTTAAGTCTTAATATCCACAAAAACAGAAAGACAGTATTTACCTATCTGCATGTATTATGTTCTGTCAGAATTAAAGAGGTAGAAATCTGCCATAAATATCTTAACAGAAGAGGAAAAATGAAAAACAAAAGCAGAAAGAAGTGTTTCAATGACATTTAGGGAGAGATGCAATATTAAATGGGGAAGTCAGAATATCAACATTTATTTCATATGCCAGAGAATTCAGAAAAAAGTGGCTAAATTTGGCACGATGGATGTATGTTTGAAGAAATTTAATAACCAGCTCTTTTTTTTTCATTTCTGTGTTAGTACACCTACATGCATCTTGCACATCTCCTGTCTATCCAAAATCTATTTTAACTACCTTACTACTGTAATATTTAAACCAGATCTTGTCCCTGTTCTAGTTTTTCTGCTTTGCCTTCAGTACCGGACTCTAACATCTCCATGACATGAGATCTCCTGATGGGAGGTGGCAAAGTTTAATTGTCTCTTAGAGTTATGCTTCAATTTCAGCACTATCTTCCACTGATAAGCTGTATAGTTCTTGTTATACTCCTTCTCTTCAATTTCTTGTGCAATTACTTTAATTAGCTATATAATCCAATTTTCAGGGCTGTTTAATGATCACAAACCGAAAAATTCTGAGATAAGAAGACATTCTTTTTCAGTGTGTTACATATATGCCATTTTAAATATATATATGTGTATATGTATACATATATATGTGAGTTTATAGGCATCAAAGTAAAGATATTCCATGTATTTTCTTTGTACTATAAATGGGGGAGAGGGAGGAGAAAGCTGTTAAATTCTCAGAGCTGTTCTGTGTCCTCAGAACTTTCAAATTCCTGGCTGGAAAGAGGTCAGTACAGGTCTTCCTAGGGGGAGGACATGGTAGAACAGAATTCTATTAGTTGCTGATTAGAGTGTCCTAGTTGTGATTTATTCCTTATGCTTCATTCACTGGGTTATAGAATAAATACCCCTCAGCGAGCACTAGAAGTCTCACATATGTTCCTGTTACTTTTGCATTCAGCACTTTGTTTTACAGGCATGAAAAGGACAAGCCTCATAATAACATGTCTAATCCCTTGTTCAGTTTACACAGTTACAGATGAAGATGATCACAGTAGTTTGTGGTTATTTATGCTATTTCCTCAAAGAAAGTGCAGGCACTATACATACACTGAGTAAATTAAACCTACCTGGCACTGTGAAGCAAGACCCTATAGAAGGGAATGAGATGCAGTGCACTCAAGCATATAATTATCTGAGGTCACACTGGAGCTGGGTCAAAGATTCAAGTGCAAGATACCCTCTTTGCCCCATAATAACTAATAGGATGCTATTCTAGCAAATGTTAGGGATAACTTAAACTCTTTTTCACTCTCCTGAACTGCTGGCTGCTAACCCCAGTGTTAAAGTGTATGTCAACATCATCTGATTATCTTGCCTCCTCCTGACCTCTCCCCCCTGTCTAATTTTTAAAATCATTCCAAAGTCCAGATTGCTTTCTAGGGCTTCAGTTGTTATTAAGAGGTATGTGGAAGTATTTTTTTTCTTGACATTATATGAATGAAATAAAATATTTTAGAAAAGTGGTTTAGCCTCACAAACAAATGCCACCAAATACTTGCAACCTTTGTTTCAGAGACAAGCTACTTCTGGGCTTAGTCCACTGCTGATTATCGCTAACAGTACGTCCCCACTGAGCTCAACAAACATTTCTTTATATGCTGCAAGGTATTTATAGCATATCTTCTTTCTCATGCTTATGCTCTTTTTAAGACATTTATAACTTCTGTATCAACAGAAACCACGATACTCAAATGTCAGTGAGCAAGGCACTCCTACTGAATTACACTCAAATATGAGACGTTAAAAGCTTGCATTATTGCCTGAAAAATAATTTAAAGAAGAAAGCATCTGCATTTACAATAAGCACCTATGACTGGAATCCTTGCTGCACTATCTTTTACTGTGTAAGAAGTGACTTCATTTCTTAAACCCATAAAGCATTATCATTCTGATGAGTTAAATTATCATAGCAGACTTCTTCTACGCAGTAACGCTTTTACGCTGAAGCTGCAAGTGGCTTAGATTTGTATGAGACAAAAAGATCTTACACTTCAAACAGCAGGTTGCAGAAGTTAAACATATTCATGAAGAGACTGTGTGAATTGCTCACCTTTCCTTTTTTTCAGCATCTTTGCTAAGAATAACATATATTGCATCTCTCACAGTCATGCAGTTTCAAACTTGGAAATCCATTCACCATTCTTACTCCATGTTTGCATGAGTCACCCTATTAGTATCAAGAAATGCAACTCAAGCAGGCATCAAATAGCTGCAAGACTTAAAAACTTGCATGAAAAACCAGTACCTTCCCATCTGGAGACATTTTCCCAAAAATACTGCATTAAAAAACCCACAGCCA